GCGTCGTCGTCGTCGTCACTCGTCGTCGTCGTCGTCATCGTCGTCGTCGTCGTTGTCGTCGTCGTCCGTCGTCGTCGTCGTTGTCGTCGTCCTCGTCCGTCGTCGTCGTCGTCGTCGTCGTCGTCGTCGTCGTCGTCGTCGTCGTAGTCGGTCGTCGTAGCGCGACGCGGAGGCTGGTGCGGCGGGCCAGCCCGCCACGTGGTGGCGTCTTATGGGAGCGGCTTTTGTAGCGTCGTTGTCGGTCGTCCGTGGTCGTTACCGTCGGTTGTGGTCATCGTTGTCGTACTCATCGTCGGTGGTCTTGTCGTCGTCGGTCGTTGTCGTCGTCGTTGTCGTCGTCGTTGCCGTCGTCAATCGTCGTCGGTCGGCGTTGTCAGCCGTCGTCGTTGCTGTCGTCATTAGAGCCTTTTGGTCATTGTCCTCGTCGTTTTCGTCGTCACTCGTCGTCGTCGTTGTCTTCGTGAGAGCCCCTTGGTCATTGGACGACTCTCGGAGCCATCTTGGGGTATTCTTGGGACCCTCCTGGAGCTCTTTTTTTTTGGGGGGGGGTCGGTGTCATCTTGGAGTTTCTTCTAGGGGTTCGTTGGGCCTTCTTAGGGCTTTCTTAGGGCCCTCTTAGGGGCCGTGGAGCTTCTTGGGGCGCCGTTGGGGCGATCCTGGGCGCTTTAGGGGCCGTTTTGGGACCCTCGAGGGGGCCCCTCAAGGGGCTTCAGATTTCCAGTGGGCGTCCGTGGCGGCTTTGGTGGCCGTCGTGGCCGTCATGGCCGTGTTGGCCGTCGTGGTGGCCGTGGTGGCCGGGGCGGCCGTGGCGGCCGTGGTGCCCGTGGCGGCCGCGGTGGCCGCGGCGGCCGTGGTGGCCCTGGTGGCCGTGGTGGCCGCGGTGCCTTCTTCAGTGCCTTTGAGACCTGGCGGGGCCCTGATCACGCTGATCTGTCTCGAGACCGCCGCAGCCGCCACTTGCCGCACTTCTGGTAGGTCCTCCGCGTGCTGGGTCCATCTGCGAGACCAACCTCCGTCGCCGTCGCGTCGCGGTGTTCCGTGTGTGTGTGTGTGTGTGTGTGGAAAGCTGTGTAGCTGTCGCGGCGGCCTCGCCGGTCGCTGTCGCACCGTTGGCCCAGCCATCGTGTGCAGTTACGCGCTGGCCATTTGTCTGGCCCCCTCCCGGCGCCGTCGCACCGCGGTCCCGCGGTCGCTGTCGCACCGGGTCCACGGGCCCATCTGTCGCGGCCCCGCGGTCGCTGTCGCACCGTTAACACACCTGCGTGGTTTGTGCCGTCCACCTGTCTGGCTACCCTCCCGTCGCCGCAGCACCAAGAAAAATATTGCGCGCCACGCATGCGTGAAGTGAGCTGACCACGACGCGCCCATCGCACGTCGCACAACTCATTCGATTGATTTCTTGAGTGGCCCGTGCGGCGACATATCGTTTTTGCGCATCTGTCCACGACGGGCCCGTTGCCGCCGCGCTGGGGAGAGGTGGTCGGGGCGGATCCCTTTCATCGGATGAGACTGAATCTGATGTGGCTGAGCATGGGTGGATTTGAATGGGAATGGTCTCTGAATGAATGAGTCTGAAGATGAAGAAGCCAGAGGATCAGTGGATCAGAGTGAGGGTGGGTCTGCGTATCAGTGGATCGGAATGCGAGTAAGCCTGAGTGTGTGTGAGTCTGGATATGAGTGACTCTGGGTATGAGGGGCTTGAGTGTGAGCTGGGTGCTCTGACCGTGAGTGAGTCTCAGCATGAGTGCATCCGAGTGTGAATGAGCCTGAGTGCTGGTGAGGGCGAGAGGGAGGCGGGAGTGAGTGAAGCGGAGGTGTCCCAGCACTAACAACAGTCCCACCTTAGAATTTCGAGAACGAGGACAAGATCAGGATATGGGGGCAACGCGGCGTCGGAGGTCTGGGAAGGTCCAGGGGGCGAGGTTCGATGATGCAGGATCGAGGTGTTTGGGCATTGGGCCTTCGTATGTGCCTGTGGAGGCATCTCGACGCCACGGCTGGGTCCCCCTTGAGATTTTGGCCAGGATGAACCTCTGGAGGGGTATGGGAATTGATTTCCAGAGGAGGAGGAGGAGGAGGAGGAGGAGGAGGAGGAGGAGGAAGAGGAGGAGAAGGACATCGGGAGGCTGCACCCGATGGGACCTCAAGCCACCAGGAACCAGGAATCAGGAACCAGGAGGAGCACGAGGCGGAGGATGACGAGGAGGAGGGAGGAGGAGGAGGAGGAGGACGACGACGAGGAAGAGGACGGGGAGAACGAGAAGAGCAGAATGAATGAGGGAGGAGAGGAGGAGGAGGATTATACGACGACGTAGGACGAGGGAGGAGGGGAGGGAGGAGGTTATTATAGGAGGACGACGACGACGAGGACGAGGAGGAGGAGGACGAGGAAAAGAACCAGGAGGAGGGCGAGGAGTCGGCGACGAGGACGGCGGCGAGCGCACAGAAAGCGCGCCCCTGGCAGGCGAGGGCGCTCCGCGAGGAGCTGCTCGCCGCGGGCGCCGCGCTGGCGGCTGGCCGCGGCGTGCTCGGCGTGGAGGTGCAGGCGGCCTGCGGGCAGCGGGGGGAGGAGAAGGAGGAAAAGGGAGGGAAGAGATGGGAGGAGGAGGAGGAGGAGGAGGAGGAGGAGGAGGAGGAGGAGGAGGAGGAGGAGGAGTGGGAAAGAGGAGGAGAGGAGGAGGAGGAGCATACCACAAGACATATGTGCCATGCGGTCGGTCAGGACGTACGGCTCCAACAGAGGCTTGGGCGTCGCGGGATGGGGGGGGCGATAAACGGGAGGGCAGCGAGTGGTGCAAAAGCCGGGGGGCCCGAGAAGTGCACCGCTCTCTCCCCCCCCCCGAATGTGTCGCCCCCACGCCGAAGTGACGCCCGAGAGGCGCGTCGTGCTGGTGCGCCCTCCTGCGCCCCCTCGGGGTCGGGCCCCCCCCCCTTCCCTTTTTTCGCCCCCCGCGCCCGAGAGCACACTGCACCAGTGCGCCCTCCTGCGCCCCCTCGGGGGCGGGTCCCCCCCCCCCTCCCTGCCCTTTTTTCGCCCCCCCCCCCGCGCCCGAGAGGCACACCGCACCGGTGCGCCCTCGTGCGCCCCCTCGGGGGCGGGCCCTCCCGTGCCCCCCCCGCCGAGAGGAGGCCGAGGCCGCGGAGCGGGAGCTGCGGGCCGAGCTGCGGGCGGCGCGCGGCGGCGGCGCGGGCGCGGGCGCCCCTGGGGCGGCGGAGGAGCAAACGCGTGCTCCCAGCGCTGCCGGCAAGAGCAAAAGGAGGACGATCCCCGAGGAAGAAGAAGAAGAGGAATAGGAGGACGATCCCCGAAGGAGAAGAAGAAGAAGAAGAAGAAGAAGGAGAAGAAAAGAAGAGAAGAAGAGAAAAAAGAAGAACGCCATGAACATAAAACTGCTGGCGCTCCGCGCGGGTGTCTTGGATCCGCGGTGACCCCCCCGCGGCGCTCACGGCGCCGCCCCTGGCGTTGCTCCCGCGCCGTCAGGAGGTGGTGCCGGCGCGGGATCCGAGAAATCCGCGCGGAGCGCCATAAAGTTCATGTTTATTGCAAACCGTTCTGTGTGTTGGGTCACTCGTTTTGAATGAACGTCCTCTCGTTCCTCCTCCTCCTCCTCCACCGCCTCCTTCCTCCCTCCTCCTCCCCCTTCTCCCTCCTCCTCCCCCCCTCCTCCTTCCGCCTGCTTTCACCGACCCGTACAGCGCTTCGTGGCCCATTAGGGGCTCCCCGAAGGCCCTAGTGCAGGTTTTAGCATGGCGGCCTCGGGCCATTTCGGCACACCCCTCACGAGGATCGTGTCCCCATAGGGAGCTCCACCGAAGGCCCCAGTGGCAGGGTTCGCATGGCGGCCTCGGGCCATTTCGGCACACCCCTCACGAGGATCGTGGCCCCATAGGAGCTCCACCGAAGGCCCCAGTGGCAGGGTTCGCATGGCGGCCTCGGGCCATTTCGGCACACCTCTCACGAGGATCGTGGCCCCGTTGGGAGCTCCACCGAGGGTGCCAGTGGCAGGGTTCGCATGGCGGCCCCGCCCCATTTCGGCGCACCCCTCACGGGGATCGTGGCCCCATAGGGAGCTCGGGTTCGTATGGCGGCCCCGTCCCATTTCGGCACACCACTCACACGGTTCATTGCCTCATAGGGAGCTCCACAGAAGACGCCAGTGGCAGGGTTCGCATGGCGGCCCCGCCTCGTTTCAGCACACCCCTCACACGGGTCGTGGCTTCATAGGGAGCTCCACCGAGGGCATCATAGAACGTTGGACCCAGAATGAGGTATCCACAATTGCTTATGGTTGGGTCTTTCGTCGGGCTAATGGTTTTTGTCCTCTTCTGGATTCGAAGCGGTGGTTCAAAGATGGGGTCCTGAGGGATGGGGTCCTGAGGATGGGGAGGGATGCCAGCGTGAATCTGCACTGTTTGAGGCACCTCGTCCCTAAGGCCCCATCTCTCAGGACCCATCTTTGAAACACCAAATCAAGAAGGACGAATTGCATAAGCATGACTTTTCTTAAGTCGGGCCTGTCCCTCCACAGGGGGAATATAAAAAGATAGTAACAAATAATCGGGGGACTATGTTTTGAGCATGTTCTTACCATCTGGGGGTATTTCTTCAGTATCTCTTGTTTTTCGTCGACAACCCCCCTGTAGGGGGACACGCCCGACCTAAGACCTTTCGGAGTTCCGGGTGAATTTCTGGCATCGGCGCTGGGCCCCCCCGGCGGCGCCTCTGACGCGGCCCCTGGCGCGCGGGGGGCGGGGTCCAGCGCCGATCCAAGAATTCCGCGCGGAACTCCGACAATTGATGTTCATGCAGCTCTTCCTTCCTCTAACGACGACCATGGCGACGTGGAGGAAGCGGAGGAGGAGGAGCAGGAGCAGGAGGAGGAGGAGGAGGAGGAGGAGGAGGAGGAGGAGGAGCAGGAGGACAAAGACGACCACGACGCCCCTCCTCCTCCTCCTCCTCCTGCTCCTCCTCCCCCTGTGTGGCTGCGCGTTGCGCCCGCTCACATAATGATGGCAGCGATCACCAGGAAGCGCACCCTGACCGGTTGGCAGCCACTGAGTGCTGCGGACGAGCAGGAGTTCAGAATACGAACCGCACGCCAGCTTGCAGCAATTGTTACTGAAGGCGGCACGGGAACCAGCAACGAACTCGGAGAGTACTTGGAAGCGGCGAATGCCTCTGTGACGGCGGCGGCGCGGGACATCCCCCACTCGACGCGTAGCCAGAGGATCCGGGACGTCTACACCAAGGACGCTGAATTATTGAAGCTGGAGGCTGCTGTACAGGACGCCGGGAATCCCGCGGAGCGACGCGCTGCGAGGAGCCAACTCAGGAGGAGGAGGCGCCACGATGAGCGCAAGAAGATGCTTGTCACCCACCCGTCTGGGAGGCGAGCAAAGTGCAGAGCGGCGCATGCGGGACCCCTTGCATTACGAGATGCTCATGGGCAAATGCAGCATGATAGATCCCAGTGGCCGGCAGTCTTGGAGGCTTTCTGCAAGAAGAAGTACCACTATCCTGCAGAGACTAGGGACAGGCAGCATAAGCGTCTGCAGAAGCTCGACGAGGAGGCGTGCCGGGAGGAGGCCAGAGGGGACCACCGCACACTGCAACAGTACAGCATTCATTACGTATTGCAGGCTAGATCGAGAATGGCCAAGGGGAAAGCAGCTGGCCAGGACGACATGGTGAACGAGATGCTGCTTGGGCTCAGCACGGAGGCGGTGTACGCTTGGTACTCTCTCTCTTTCGAGCCAGGCTGGCAGGAGGGGAGGGCGATGTAGAATCCTGGACGAAATTGGTCATGCTATTCTTGGAGAAACGGGCACGCAGCACCGACCTCACAGACTACAGGGGGATCACTCTGATGGCTGCGACGCTCAAGTGGTACACGACCAGCTTGATCTTGCTCTATGAAGACTTAGTGCCCCCCACGCGTGAGCTCTCGCGAGTGTTGTGCATGGGATTTGAGACGGGCATGAGCTGCGCTCACCTCATCACGCCGCTGCAGCTGCTGATCCGCAAGAGCTGGGAGTGGCCCGACCGCTTTCCACTTGCTGTTCTATTCGCGGACGTGCTCCAGGCGTTCGACTTCCTCCAGCCGAAAGCGGCGATGGCCGCGATGAGAGAGGCAGGAGCGCCGAGCAGGCTGCTGCGAGCGCTCTTCCGCGAAGGCGTGAGCTGCACGATGGAGCCGGTCTTTGGCACCACCACGGTTCAGACGCCGATCTTGTACAACCGCAGCGAGAAGCAAGGGAGCACCGACGCCACGCGGAAGTTCAATGCAACGATCTCCAGGTGCATGGTGCTCGCGATCCGCGCCTACGAGGCGAACGACCTTGGCATCGTGATGGAGGGCGTGCGGTTCACGCATGTACTCTGGTGTGACAACGTATACCTCTTGGCGCGGGACTGGGAGATGCTCCGCAAAATGACCAACATCTCGAGCACAGAACTTCAAACTATTGGGCTTTATTGGAAGCCCTCGAGCTTGGAATACATGACGTCGAGCCCCAATGCGCCAGCTTTCTTCGAGATCTCGGCGGCGCAGCCTGACGTCGCGCAGGTCGCGCTCAAGGTGCCGCGAGTCTCCGTCAGCACCCAGCTTGGTAGCGTGCTTACGCAGACGGGCGATAGCACGCCAGATGTGGAGGCTCGTATTTCCGCAGCATGGCGAGCATGGTGGGGAGACAAGGCCCTCCGGAAGAAGACGCTGAGTATGTTGGAGCGTGTCCGGCGCTATGAGCAGCACGTGCAGCCCATACTCTTTGTACGGTTGCGAAGGCTGGGCCATGACGACAGTACTGGCCCAGAAAATCCACGGAGCAGAAGGCTCGATGCTCCGACGCACAGCGATGATACGCGGGCGACGGGATGGAGAGGGACTTGAGAGATTCATGCGGCGATCAACGACGAGGGCCAGAACGATCTTAGTCAGGGGTGGAGGCAGGCTCGTCCTTGAGAAGCTCTTGGAAGTGAAGCACAAGATGGCGGCGCTCGCCGTCACCGGGCGGACGTCCCCAGACGACCCTAAAGCTGGGAGTGACCTGCGCGATTTCCTGACTTATGCGACCAGGACGCTCCCCGAGGAGGACTGGCAGCGGACGAGGGACAGAATGAAGAAGAGGAGGAGGCAGCGGGCGAGTCGCAGTACCTTTGCCCGCGCACGGGAGGAGGAGACCCCGTGGCAACATCGGCAAGGATGGGCGCGCCGAGCTCAGTGGGAAGACGTTTACATCTCTGCTGCGGGACCTGGATGGCGTGAGGATGCTGCCCAGCCAGTCTGGGCAGAACGGAGGGAGGAGTTCGTGAAGACTGGCTTTGAGGGTTGGGGACTTCCTGTGCAGCGCTGGCGTGAAGAACGGGTCCGATGGCAGTCGAGACATGCTCAGCAACCGTGTCCTCGTCAAGTTCCCCCGTATGCCCAGCCTGCCTTCCAGGCCCCGGCGGCGACAGCCCTTAATACTGCGCCGGGTTCCGTTTCATCGCTACCGAAACGAATGCGGGTGCAGATCGAGGGAGACAGCAACACCACGATCGAGTGGCTCAACGGGCGCTGGGACATGAAGAACCCAAGGCTGGCGCCGGCACTAGCTCGAGCGCGCCGGAGTCTGCGCGTGGCCTGGGGGACGGGCAGAGTGAATGTCGCAACGGACGGGGCAGATTGGGCTCGGCACATCTACCTCGAGTACAACAAGGATTGCGACGCCACCGCAACAGCCGCATTGGAGCGACAGTGCGAGATTGCTGCAATCAACCTCGTGCCGTGGGAGCTATTGAGGGGGCATGCGGAGGCAAACGTCGTGGCCAGGTTCGACGGCGGGCGGCGGGAAGGCAAAGCCGGGGCAGCATGGGCTCTATGGGTGAAGATCGGCACGAATATGTACCCTTCGATGGTCTACGGATTCGGCGTGGGCAGCGCCACGAGCTCTAGCGCGGAGCTCGCCGCATGTAGTTCGCTTTGCAGTCACATTGAACACATGGCGGAAAGGCTTGCCGCCTGTGGAATGCCAGATTTGGGCATTGATGAAGCCCAGAGGGCTCCGCGCCGTATCAGGCCGCGGCTCGCCTTGGCTGATACGCTCATTGCTCGCGCTCCATAGTATCATGCTGTGTCCGCTTGGGCTGCCGGGTTCCGGCACGCAGCCCAGAATGTCCAGAGTCTCCCCCCTCCCCCCTCCCCCCCTCCTCCTCCTCCTCCTCCCCCTCCTTCCCCTCCTCCTCCTCTCCTCCTGCCTCT